TCATCTTTCCAGAATCACTCAGTACAAACTTGTCCCTCCAGAAGCTGCACAGCTAGAGGTGGAGTTTGTACAACAATGCCAATTAAACGCAGTAACTAGAACAGATGTCTTATGATTTCTCGGTCCTCAGGGTAATAAATACCTACCCCTTTGTCCCACCCAGAGTTTTTGTTTTGTGTGTTTTGCTTTGTTTTCAGAGAAAAAGTTCTTAAGGAGAGCTCCCCCTGCCCCCTCCCATGTCTGGAAATCTGAGCATCAGATGTGACTTCAGATACGAACCAGGGACTCCAGGTATTTCCCCTGCCTTAATCCTCTGGCAGCATTTTCCAAGCACATACTACACCTGAAGTCCTCCATGCTATTGCATTCCCCACTCCAAAAAGAGCTGGATCCTAGGCCTGCTTCTGCCCATTATGCAAAGTTAAGTTATTTTAATTTTCACATGATTATGAAATTAATTATCCTCTGGAGGGAGAATGAATGGCATCCCACACTCCTAGGCATTCAATAGGAGGGAAATTTTGTTCACACGGCCTCTGAGATAAGAGGGCTCTGGAATCACAGTGCCAAGGACAAGAGGTACAGCATCACTAATGGGCTCCCAGACCTCTTGCTGGATATCCACCAGCAATCAGATGAAAATGATTCAAACACATCACAAGCAAGGGGATTTCTGCGATGTGAGGCTCTGTGCCCCTCCCGCTCTCTGCCTTCCCATCCCTATTTCATTATCTCCCATCAGACTCCTCCTCCTGGACTTGCTCTGGCACCACCCCAGCCCATCGGCCAGCCCCACACTATCAGGGTGCAGAGCCTGCATTGCGTGAATTACCCTCCACTTGCTATTTTCCATCTAACCATTCCCTTCCCACCCTCCCTGTGTCTGCTCTCTATCCTCTGCTATCAGATGATGCTCTTTGCCTAACTGCAAGCAGGTGCAGCTGATGATCTCTTCCTAGCAGTCATAAATAAATGCATAAATATATATATATATAATTACCCTTTAACTACTTTACTATTGGAAAATGCAATCCAGCAAGGAGCCAGAGGACTTCCCACACAAGGAACCTTGTAAGCCAGAGGCTTGTAAGCCAGAGGCTTACAAGGGAATATTAACATCAACTCTGCCGGAGAGGACTAAGGTGACCTGTCCAATATGAAGAGCAGGGCAGGGGCAACATCTGGAGCAGCAAATTTACACCAGCTCCTAGTGCTTCATCCTAAGAGCCTGGAAGCCTCCTCCCAATGGACAAGTACACCTGTTGGTACGTTTACAACAATAATGTCAGCAGATGTATTACTTTGGGCCACTCAGGTCTCCTTGACCATCCCATGGAGATGGGATGCTCACTAACATCCTCTGCAAAGGTGACAAAACCCTCACCTCCTGTGGGGTTGGTGTTTCTGCACTGATCCCCCTGTGCAGAGAGGTGTTTGAGATGTCCATGGCAAAGTTCTTGAGTTGTCTATCTGACTCAAAGCTTATCTGACTGACTCAAAACCACTCCAAATCTCCTCTCTGCGCACTCTGTAGTTGGCTTGAATGATGAGAAGCACAGATGTTGACGGTGTGGTGGCTGCTTCTCACCACAGGAGGTTAAATGAGGCTGAGAAGCTGAAAAATGAAGTTAAGCAATTGGAGCATAACAACCTTGGGGCAGGAGAGGAAAGCAGGAAGAGACCATCAGTATTTGAATTGCCTTGGCATTGCTTACCAGGCTGCGAAAGGGGGCTGTGATGTCCCTTTGTGTTAGCTTTGAAAATTAAATGGAAAAAAAAAATAGAAAAAATAGAAACTGCAATAATGCTACTGGACTTGCCAGGAATTGGCAGACCAGGCAATGCCATTTGTTGGTGTATGACTTTTGGGGAACAGTTGGACAAAGTCTTACTTAACGTGCTGAAATCTGTGCGCTCCTGAAACCTCTTAGAACATGCAGTGTGTTCTGAGAGCAGAAGACCACAGCCATGCCCTCTTGCCCTGCAGAACAGACCCCTGAGCACTGTTTTTAATGTCTACAAGGATGTTTAGAGTAAACAGGACGCAGCTTGATTTTTATTTCCCCCTTTGGTTCTATGACGTCCACTCCCACCTATAAAAGTTCTTAAATGTGGCCCATTTTCAGGCCCAGGAGGAATGCAAATGAGAGGGGGATCTCTAACAGGGGGGATTAGAGCAAGTCAGAGAGAAAACCCCCACAATGTTTTAGAGAAAGGCAAACTAAGGAATGAGAAATCAAAGCTGAGGACCTGCTTGATGAAATTCATTGAAAAGGACATTATATTCGTTATGAATAAAGCTATAATTTAACAAGTGAAGTGGGGAAGCCAGTCAGCAGATATTAATCACCATTCACCCATCTAGACTGGTGGAATTTGCGTGCACCTTAATCTGCATTTATATCTCCAGCAGTATCAATTCACTGTTCAACAGAAACAGACATGCCTGAAATGCCAGCTGAGGGACGACGGAGGCCCATGAACTCAGCGAGATGGAGCTGGCACACATTACATCCCCTGTGCACATCTTCCACTGGAGGAAACTCGACAGAAAGCAGTCATAGAGAATTAACACAGCCACTATCTACAAGAGATACCTTTGGGCCGTTGCAGCCAGGGTCCTGATTTGAAAGTTAGGATACAAATCTCATGTTTTACAGTAGTTTTAAAGCCAGATGGTGAGAGCATCATTGATTTGGACCAACTGAGGATCTGGTCCTGTAAAAACTAGAGTGGAACTGGTAACTGCCAGCTACAAAGTGGAAAAAAACAGCAACAAAGCAGCAGGCAGTGCTTTGCAAGATGGCTTTGTTGCCACCAGGATTCACAGGTCCTGTGCTTTTTTTTTTTTTTTTTTTTTTAAAAGAAGAAGAAAAAAAGAATTTTTCTCATTCTTTTTCTGGTATTTGGACTACAAACCCCAACACGGCACCACAAGGAAAAGAAGCTCCTTCATACACTACGACCACTTCCCTCCTCCTGCATTTCTGCTGTCCAAAGTCATGTGCTGTTGAACATGTGTAGCAAAACAGACAGAAACTGCATGGATAGATGAAAGCAAGCTGCCTGGCTGACAAAAGCCAGTTTCTGTGCCAAACAGCCTGAGGCAAAGCCTCCCCAGCAAAGCAGATACTGCACCTGAGCCCGGAGGCCACTGCTGGATTCCAGCGTGGTAATAGGTATGGTTGGGATGAAACCCAGACTGTGGGAAGGGTCAGAGCCTTGGCTAGCGCTTGCCATCTGGTTATTTGCTAGGAAGCAGAGTCAAAGCAGCAGGTCCCGCACCTCTACCGGACTGTAGGGTGCCCCAGCATGGCAGTGCAAGTAACCTTATCTACGGCAGTTTCAGCCAAACTAACCTGGGAAACAATAGCATGAAAACAGACAGATATCCCACACTGAGCAGCAGCGTCCCAGCTCCGTTGAGCAACGCAAAGCCACTCCTTCCCAGGCTGCACCATTTCACCTTCGGTGGTATCGTAACCCACAGCAGCCAGCTTGAAACGAGAACCATTTCCATGCTGCAATCCCAAATTTGATTTCCGTGTAGTCATATATTATGGATTTAACTGACACATATATGTTAAGAGTTACTGGTGTGTCCCTCTACATTCAAATAGGGAAGAGGACATCAGAAGGTGACTTGGCCCCCCTAAAACCTGAATGAATCTTGGAGGTACTGCTGTAGGAAGCAGCACGCATAGAGAAGTGCAGAGTAAGCCTCCATCAGCACTGGAGTTTGGGTCAGACATGCTTTGGCAAGCAGCTGCTGGTCACCCCACTTGCCACACACACTCTTTCCTTGCTGTGGAGCAGCAGAGCTGTGTTCCTTTCCAACACGGCTGAACAGAAGCATGCATCCAGCTTACAGCAGGTGTTGAGCACATGGGACCAAGACACAGCAAGTCAAATGCCACCCTCCCAAAACACACATGGTGAAGGCACCAGCTCCTCAGATCCCGATGTTTCTCTCTGCTCACTGATGCACAGCAATGCTCGCTGGCTGCTCTACCAAGTTATGAGAACAGGGCAGAGCCCAAGTGACTGGCAACACTATGCAAGATCCAGCTCACAAGGGAAGGAACTGAAATTGCCATTTCACAGATGTGAATCTCCTCCAAATCCCACAGGAATTCTGCGGCAATGTCCAGGAAAGGAAGGCATTTCTTTTTCTTTTTTTTTCTTTTTTTTTCTAATAACAAGACCACCCTCCTTCAGGATATTGCTTAACTTGCATCTCTACCTTCCGGCTGGCTTGTAACCAGCTGTTGCTCTTTCTGCACAGTTATTAGCCTCCTCCTCCAAATAATGCAGTGCCATTATTTTTGGTCCTGCTCTGGCCTAATTCAGCTGACTTTTCCATTTTGCCCATTTTATTAGTCTCACAATCACATTCCATTGCAGATATATATTTTTATTTTATTTTATTTTATTGCAAGCATAAGCTTGCTGTGCTTGTTTCCACCCAGCACAAACTAGTCCTTCTTCTACACTGAAAGCATCTGTGAAAATGCCAGTAAGACTGTCTACCTACATAAATTCACAGGGTGCTACTAAGCAAATGTAAATGAGCTACCCTGCACCACTGAAAACCTTATAATCAAGGCAAGTTAACTTCAATGTAAGTTTTGTTATAAAACCAGGATGACGTGTCACTTGTTGGAAATTTTAGCTCCACAGCTTACATTTGCAAGAATCACAGAACGGTTTGGGTTGGAAGGGACCTTAAAGATCATTTAATTCCAAGCCCACAGGAAGGGACAAGAGGGAAAAAAAAAATCAAGACACTCCTCGCTTTGCTTTCTTTACATTTCAAGAAATAGAATAAATCTGGAGGCATTTTTATTTTTTGAAGTTAAGTAACACCCAGCAGAGCTAGGAGTGTATTTATGCTCTTCACATCAATATCATGCCTGGATTTAGGAGAACATGAGTGAAAAAGGGAGCAAGGTGCACATTAGACATTAGTGTGGCAAGAGGGGGGCTTCCACTTCACTTACCATTTGAAGGACACCAAAATATGACATCAGGTAGCCAGACTCCACTGCTTCCAAGCCAAAGAAATCCATCGAGATGATGGAAAACATAATCAGGAACAAACCTAGAGGGAGGGTTAATGAAAAGTATATATCAGTACACCTCCAGTGCTTGTAATGGCCCAGCCCCTGCTCCCAGTCACCTCCAGCATGAGTCAGTAGCTCTCCCTGGGGTTACAGGGACTGGATATAAACATGAGTAGAATCCTACTCAAAGTCAGTATAGTAATTTAGTCTTTAAATGTTCACTTTTTATCCCACTTACTTTCATCTTTAAATAATGTGACTACGTAGGCTGTAGATTCAGCTGTTTATAATAAACTGGTAAATATTTTTATCACTCAAGCCAGACTAACCATTAAGGCAGCAAGAAAACCTTTGTTCAGACAAGACTGTAACCAGAGAATAATCTGATTGGATTCCTCCTCCCTTTCGCCTAACTTTAGCTTTCCACCATTGGCAATGCTGCCTGGGAAACAACCTAGTGACATCAGACCAAACACGGAGGTTTCGCTGCACACCCCAACGGTGATTTCAGCAGTATGTGGAAGCTCTCTCATGGCACGATAGTGGTATCACCACAAATAGCCAGGGACGTATGGACAGGAACAGTAGCCACCGGGGCAGCTCTTCAATTAAGGCAATTTCTGGAGAGCACAGCAGAAAATGCCTGCTCAGTCTCACCTAAAATTACAGTAGGGTGCATTTCCCTTCCCTGCCAAACATACACAAATACAAACGTGTACACACACTCCACCATACACACAGAGCCATGAAATTAAAAATATTGGGACAGAGCCTGCTAAAGAACTGGAGTAAGATGTGAGACTGCTGCCACCCTAACGTCTTGTGTACCTCGGGTGACAAAGACAGGAGGAAATTGGGGCTCCCTCCCTGTAAATGTCCCCCCCCCAACCATTTGACTGTCTGATGCTGATGGGAAGAGGTGGAAAAAGCAGGTGACCTCCAGGGGTCCATCCCTGCCCTTGGAGGATCCTCTGAGTTGCAAAGACTTGATAAGCTGGGAGATGAAGTCTTCTCCATCATGGTAGGAAAGCAGAGGCCAGGAGGAAACGGGTGAGGGCTGGGATGAGGGCTTGTGGCCTGGCAAGGTGAGTCATGCACCCCGCAGCATGGAAAGGCTCCTGCTCACATTTCCTGGAAGCGTGAGGAGAGCCGTCCCAAACTGCTGACTGCAGTGCAGCACATTCACCCCGAGCACAACCACATCCACCCATTGCCGGCGGACAACACAATGGGTTTTCCGTGTGGGTCCCATTCAGACAGGGACCACGCTTTTCCTGTGAAATTCACCCAACTGGAAAACTCAAACCAAGGGCTTTGGGTGCTGGTGAGACAATGGTCACTTACATGGTGTCATGGTCTGACCTGCCCCAGGGTCTGCTTTAGGAAGGGAGGGCTCACACCTGAAAAAATCAGCCCAATTCCCCTGTGTCCAACAGCACAGCACTGCTGGTACCAGTGGTGCATCTGCACCAAGGAGGGCCTCCCTCCGAGCTTCCCAGCTCACAAGGAACCACCACCCTCCCACTCCAGGCCCTGCTGCAAAGCCTTCCTGAGCCCCCTGAGCTTTCTGGGGTCACCTCCTCCTGCCTTACTGCCCGGCTGGTGTTGGTCCTCAGAGGTTTGGAGAAGGTGCTGGGTGCACGTGAAGATTTATGGCTTTGCCACACCTCTCGGCAGGGAGCGCCTGTCAGTACTCAATTGCTTTGAAATGCCTCTCAGCCCCAGCCAGTTTAAGGTAACATGCAAATCGCAGCATTTACTCCCAGCATCCAAAACAGACAACAGAGCTGCACATGTTTATAAAAGACACACGTGAAGAAATGAAAGAAAAACCACACTTGGTTTTACTCGTGGGGAGATTGGCTCAGGGCGCGACTGCCTTCATGCAGCTGCCCCGCTGCGGTACCACCTAGGAGGGATTCAGCCTTCCCACATACCTGATGCTTCTTCCTGGTACAACGCGCCCGCTCTTGCAGCTAAGCTCCCTGTTGAAGTCCCTTGCTGAGTTTAGGCAGATTTGGATCTTTCTGCTCCAAACAAACTCATTTCTTTCTGTGAAGGGGGCTAGCTGCTCTCCTTCTTTAGCCTTACACATTGCAATGAGACGCAAACATCTTTCTTCAGACAGGTATCATGCCCATGCCTGCGTGGTTAACAACAACTGCCTGGACAAGGGAGCCCCTCCTTGTCCTACCTTCTTTCAGTGACTAAGGTGGTCTCAGAAACTTCACCTTCTTGGGAAAGATGGGGCTAAACAAGGGGTGAATTTCTTAGAAAACCTTGCACCAGAACAATGAATAATGATGGTCATGCAGCAGAAGGCAGGTAAGCAGCTTGTGAAACTCGATAAATGTGAGGCAGAGCCCCAAGGAGATACAGGGGTGTGAAACGTATTTAAAAAAAAAAAAAAGATAAAGACTGGGAATTTATAAAAGCAGCCTCTGGCTCTGGGAGGGCATACCGGGCTTACATGGCAAGGTAGTAGCAGGGGGCCTACAGGGGTTGCCTCTGAGACGAAAGCAGGCTTTCCAAAAATCAAAGATTCACACAAGCAGCTAATTATCAGTATTTTCAAAGCCCTGGTGATCCCTGAGCAGCAAGAGGTATGTTTGACATTTCTATCCACATGTTTGGCTTTCTGTCTCTTATCTACCACAAGGAAATGATGCTTGCTTTTCCCATGTCAGCTGAGCAGGCAACTTGGCCGTGCTGGAGAGACCTGCTGCCCCTCCATCCCTCGGCAGCTCTCCTCCCAGAGGAGGCACAGAGCTGATCTCTGCTTTTATGCAAACCAGGGAGGAGGTTCCCAACCTTGCAGCCCTCTTGGGAAGGCTCTTTCTCTTTCAGTCAAGCTAATTTTGGACAACAATGAGATCCATACGGAACAGAAGATTTTCTCCTGTGTATATCACAAACTTGTTTACAAAGTAAATAGAGAAAGGTCTGTAATTTGAATAATCTAATTAATTAATTATACAGTTGCAGCAGGGAGATGAAAGGTGAATGAGACCAACAGGAGCTCAGCCTCCAGTCATAAGCAGCCGAGGAGGAGGTGATGGCCAAATCCCCTTTCGGCTGCAATCCTATGGCTAGTGGCCTGAAGAGAGACCCACAAAGTCACTAGGATTTTAATCATTCCTGACCATAGTGCTCTGCTTGTGGCAAGAATGCCTCCAGTGATCCTATTCCTGCTCCCCTGAAACACTCCTACCCACCTCAGTGACATTTGGCCCATGTCCTGACTTAAATCTCAACTTCACTTTCCATCCTGTTTCCCTACGAGTTCCCTTGCAGTCGGGGCAGGAGATGTTTATTGTGTTTTAGTATGTATTTTTGCTGTGCACAGGAAAAGAATGTCTTCTACAACTCAGAGGCATTTGCATTTCAGCAGTGATGACTAAACCAAAGCGCATCTTGCCCGCCTGTTGGAAAAAGGACAGTGCACAGGAAACTACAGTGCAGATTGCAAATGGATGTGGTCTCAGTGTAGTGTTTTTAAACAGAGAAAAGAATGCTACTTTGAGCTGAGAAATGAGCCAAAATTGGAAAAAGAATATCCTCTTAAACATCACTCGGTGATCTTGTTCTGGGAAACACTGTCATTTTATAAACACTATTTAAAAAGTTTTAAAGCTTAGTTTCCTAAGAACCTGAGAGATGCACTCTTAGGGCAAGCCACCAATCCATGGAGATACTATTCCATCTCCAGCTCTAGGGATAGGACCAATTAGCGTTATTTGTCTCTGCCAATACCAAGTACACACTAAAAGAAAATGAAAAAAAAACAGGAATCCTTTTGTTCCCTGCAAGTTATTCTGCAGCTCCAGTCAGACTTTGCAAGGCTAACAGAGGAAACTGGTCATTCCTAGAAATGCTGTCCCCTTCTGATCTAGCCACTCTCCGTGGCCAAACCTGGTTCTATTTGTACACTGAATTTACAGTTTACAAATCAGAATTTAATGGAATGTGCCAAGACTGCGACTGACTCAAAGGGAGCAGGGAAACAGGCAGGTCTGTGGTATGTTTGAGATAGCAGTGGGTTATGAACACGGCATGAGAAAAATGCACAGAACATTCAAAGAGAAGAACAAGGACCATCACATAGGTGGAAGGGAAGGAAAAAAAAAACTAGCAGCTCCCTGGCACACAGCCGAAAATTAACAGTCTGTCTGACCACAGCTCCTTGTCCAGCAATATCTTTAAATTGCTGGGAAAAGGTTAGGTTATGCATAATTCCCTTCCCTTAAAATCATTAAGCAAAATCAGGAGAGACCTCAGTGTTTCTGGCAGGGTACAGATGATTTGCTTCTGCTCTGAAGAGGTTCCAGCCCAAATAGAAATGGCAGACAAGAGGAGAAAACCATCCCTTTACAGCCAGGGGATCAGGCAGAGTGATTAAGTGATTTGCCAAAAGTCACAAAAGAGGCCTGTGACAAGCAGTCTGTTTTCCATTAATTTCAGGTTTTTGACCCTATGTAGCTGAGAGCATCTGGAAGCATGCAGCACTGAGGTACAAGCCGAATCCTTACTCCTCTGTGATCACACGCAGCGTGGTTTCAGTAACTTGAGACTAGCCTGGTCTACAGTGTATATCTTCTTATTTTAAATACATCAACAACCACGGGTAATGGGTGAGATTTACCTATGGGAAATCCAGAAAAGACCTTGACTAAGAAAATTTCCATTACTCCCGGAAACTTCATCAGGCGTAGGATTTCTCTGATGCTGAACACGCTGCCAGACTGTGATGTGCCTAAGGAAGATGACATATCGGATAATATTATATTTATACAGGTTAAACACAGGGAACAAGAAACTGTGGTGATTACTTGTGGCTTGTTACAGTGCTCTGCTCAGTGTAGGCAATGGCTTTCTGAGTGATGCTTTCTGGGAATGCAGAGAGAAAACCCTAACTGGAGTAGTATGATCTGGGTAAACATCAGTGAAAGAATTAACTCTGGTATAGAACTGAATTTGGAGGTAAAGCTTTGGGATCTGGAAAGCTGAGCTGAAACTGTGGACAGTTCATATGCAAAATGAATTAGATGACTGTGTCTTCATCATTCTTAAATCCTTCTCATCTGACTAAAGCTCATCTCTTGGGAAATACTTTCTCACAGGCATGAGGAGGGTGAAGCCCTGTGAGCAAAGAGGTGAACCTTTTTGCCCATAAATGCAACCCCAACTCCTTCAGCACAGTCCTGCCATCAAGTCAGTCCCCTGTCCCTATTTATGTGCTATTTATCAGAAGCACTAAATACTTACTGTGCTCTGCCTCACCATGTTCTGACTTTGATTTAGCTGGTGAAGGGATCCAAACCATTGCTATCATGGTGTTGATGAGACTTCCCACCAGCCCGACATATATAGGAGTAAAAATGCTGCAAACGGACAGAAATACAGGTAAGTGGGTAGTTAATCATAAACAGAAGACGGTTGTATCTTCATCCTGTGAAGTTTTGGGCACATGTCTGTTTTTACTTGCATGAGGAACAACCCCCTTGAAGTTGCAATATAGAAGGCTATCGAAGAGCTCCCATGCTTTCCTGGGGGCCTTAGATATGACCACAGTATGATATTTCACCTAAAGATTGACATCAAGATATTAATGTTAATATTAATCGTGTTAATTATATGGTACAATACAAATCCATGAGTATTAGGGGAAAAGAGCCCCTCTTGGTTTAATGCAGCTTAGAAATCTTCCCACTGAAAGCGAGAGCAAATGCTTTTTAGGATCCATCTAATCCCCATCTAATCCCCAATTTCATTCATCAAAGTATTATCTCACTGCTTGAAACTTCTCAGTGAAATCAAATGAAGTTAAGAAATGAAGAAAGTACTCAGGATGATTATGAATGGTAGAACAAAGCTCAGGCTACAATCAGATCTGAAAACACCAGAGGTACATCACCACCTGAAAAAAAGCCACTAAATATAACAGATCAATTGACAAAGCTTTGACCAGAGGCCCAAATTTCGTCTCTTTAACAGATGTGGGGCCACATCCTTACATGTTGACCCAGTTAACAACAATTATTAACTGTAGTGAATTGTAAGTTATCTAAAAAACCCAAACACAAACTAGTAAAAGCCAATAAAGTCAACGAGAAGTCCTGAACTATCACTATCCTCTTAAAAGAATGGGAAATGATCCTCCTAGTCTTTAAGGGCACATGGGAAGACTTCAGACTCTGAAGGGCTTTAACTTCAGCAAACACAGCTGGAACAAAGTCCAGGGCTGGAAGACTGAATCTCAGGAGACTTGAGCTGAAAACAAAGGAAAAAGTATGGTTTGTGTTTAACAGCAAGAGCAATTATCCACTAAACCAGCTCATTAAGTCTTCTCTGTCATGGCAATCCTGTTAGTCAAAGGGGAATTCTTTGAGAAATGCGTGCTGAAAGCCTACAGCAGGATGCAGATTTGGGGTGGGAATCCCCAGCTGACAAAGGATGGTGTCATGGAGAGGACAAGATGACCTGACCATCATGCTCTCTCTGGGGCATCAAAATTTAAGCACATTGGATCTTAGCAAAGCAACACCTGGATTCATCACAGAACATTTTGGAGCCATACAAGCCCATGCAGACTTGGAGATGAATGTGCCCTTGTCTTATCAAATGGAACTCCAAATAGACCTGCAAGATGCAAAGCAGTGCTTCCTGTGTGCCTGCTGATAAAGGCCTGCTTCTTGCCTGGCTTTTTACTGCTGCTTTCCTTGTCAGACCACGGCGTATGTTTTTCATGGAACAACCAACAGCACTAATTGTAAAAGCCTCAAGTTTCCTATGTGCTAAGCAAAGGTGCGGTCTGAGTAATTTCTAGACTGTAACGGGCTTATTATTAAAGTCCCAGAGCAAGACAGCTAAGGATTGCGATGCAAACAAATGAGAAAAGCATCAAAGAGCAAATATATATATATACACGCATTCCTGTTAATACCAACAGCAAAACTCCCAGATGAATATTTTAATTAATTATCATTAATAACAACAAAGTTAGATAATATCTTCCTGCTAATGGACTTAGCGCAGCAATTTAGACCTGCTGCATTCCATCTGCCAAGCTGTTCCACTAATTACCCTGGACCACAAAATTAGTCATTTATAGGATTGTTACTTTTTATTTTTAGTGCAACAGATTGCCTTTTTCTGATCTAAAATTATCTTCCAAACAGTTCACAAACTACTGAAATCAACTTTTTTGACCCAAATTTTTATCCAAGCAGTCTGGAATTTGTAGTTTGCATTGCAACATAAAGGACCTTTATTAAGAAAATAGAAAAGATAAAATATTCAAAAGAAGTAGCTCCAGATGGCTTTATATATATATATATATATATATATAAAATTATTACTCTATTTCTGTATTTCAAACTTTCATTCTGTGGAAAAAAAATAAATAAATAAAATAAATTGTTAGACAGATAAAAACATTTCTTTTTCCAGTCTTATTTTTTTCCTGAGGTTTTCCAGACTCCTAGATGCCAACACAAACATGTTTTACTCTTTAGATCCAAGAAGAACCACCGCAAGTGCCAGCATTGAGTGAAGGATCCCCCTATAAAACCAGTAATTAATTAATGTACTCCGCTGAAAGCAAACAACCAATAATTCATTGCTCTGGAAGAGAGAGGAGAACCTTGAAATTTTACACATTTGGAAACACCTGGGCTTGCCTTCACAGATTTGTGGAATTCTGTACAGCTGGACTCTGAATTCAGGGGAATCCAGTAAAATATAGAGCTCAAAAACACATTTCCAAGAAAAGCCTGAAGCATTCAAACTCATCTGAAAATCCCTTTTCGTGACCACAGCCTTCTGTAAGTGCTTCATGTTTTTCCACATATTAAGCATTATTAGCATTTCTTGATGGTAATGAGGGTACACACTCAGGCTAGGCTGGTCCTGCGTGGCAGAGACAAACTCTGGAATCAGAGATAATGCACCCGTGTCCTGGAAACCAACTGTTTGTTTGCTTGCTTAAGAAACACAAAATGAAACCAATGGTCATAAAACTGCAGTATCAACACATAAGGCCTTTCTCTCTCTTTTTCTCCCCCTCCGCCCCCCCCCCCCCCCCCTTTTTATTTTCTTCTGATGCTTCTGTTAGAACATGTGAATTTTCCACTTGGAAGTTTCACCTCTTCAACAAACTCTGGAGAGGAAAGGTCCATTCCTTATGCACTGCAAGGAGTGAAGTGCCAACTTTGGTCTTTATATTAATATAGACACCTGACCTCCTCTTTTCCATCAGGAACAGGGTCAGACTCTGCCTTTACTCCTCTCAGGGGCCTCAGAAGCCTGGGGGAAGACAGGAGGGAAAATAACCTCTGGGGCTATTCAAGCAATAACCTCTTCTGAGCTTTATAAAGAAAAATCTAGTTGGGCATAGGCCTTGGCCTCGCATGGTGACACCTCCTGTGCCATATCCTGTGATTTTATCAGCACCTGGAGACACAGAGACTCTAGATGGATCTAGACCAGAGGCCGATACTTCCCTGTACTAGGAAGAAACACTACCTGCATCCATGGATGCTGCTGGGAGTGGAGCTGCACTCTGCTCAGGTGGGGTGGGACAGAGGTGGTGGTGGTGAGGAGGAGCCCCACAAGCAGCAAAATGGCAGGGCAGGACTCACTCACACCCCATGGCATCTTTGAGGAACAGCTCCTTCTGCTTATTTGGCTTATCAGGAAGGCACATGTGCCAGGAAGGGATGCAGCAGTGCTAGTAAGACAAATGAGACACATTAAGCAGGTTGCTCCTGTGGGACCTCTCCCTGTCTTCTTCCCCTTCCTGCCTTCCCTCTTGTCCCAGCACACCAGCTAGCATGCATCCTGCTAAAACCAGAAACAGATTTTCTGAGCAACAGGCACAAGAAAGGATGCGGGCAGACCTCATACAATTAAATTAAAGGACTGTTTTTTTGCTGTACTAACAGAAGCAGCTGCTACTGGCCCTGATTTAAACTTTCAGAAACGTACAATGAAAACATGAACAGAGGGACTGGGAGTCCAGGAGCTCATAACATCAGTTAAATACTGCTCAACGATGTAACAAAAGCCTTTAAAAATATATATATATATATCATTTTCCTGAAGCCTTTATGCCAGTGTGGTGGACACATTAAAAACACATCCCTGGAGGGAGGGACTCAGAAGAGGAGGAAGAGAATCAAGGGCACCCCTAGACACTGTGCAAATCCCTGGGGAGACAGCCCCTCTTGTTATTTCAAGACTCACTTTCCAGCTTGTGTTTATTGATAACAAATAGGATGACAAATAGGATTTTCCATATGGAAAATCCATCCCTAACGCTGGTGGGAAAGCAGAACTGATGATGAAACCATTAATAATAAAATAATGGCAAAGAGATTAAACCCAGCAAAAATATTATCATTCAAAGTTGGCTGGAAGAGGGCTGAATTTCTTCCCATCTAAGGCTTAACCAGCCTCTGTATTTACAGCCAGATAGCTGTAAATCCTATCGCACACCATGCTTTTTGTTTCATTGGGCATCACCCAGATAGCAGGCTGATTTCAGTATCCCCTACTCCAGAAACACTAGATGAGGGAAATGAGCAGGAAAAAGATGCATCTTTTTCACAGATAATGCTTTCTCACCAAGTACTGCATGCCCCTGAAGTCCAAACAGGTCACACACGAAGCATCAGAAAAACTTGGTGGGCTTTATAGCCAGCAATAGAATCATAGAATGATTTGGGTTGGAAGGGGCCTTAGAGATCATCTAATTCAATGAGGATCTTGGGAAGCAAACAAGTATGCATGGGTATATATACATTCATATATGTACATACATATGAACACATGCACAGAGCATTTCCTAGCAGCTGTGCAGCAGTTCTTGGTGAAAGTACCTTTGGCTGTAACAAAACCAAAGGACTGCTGCCGGCTGGCTGGGAGGCTGCACTGGGGCTGTGTGTGCAGTGAGATAGCATCAATCACTTTCTGATTAGCATTCCAGCCACAGAGCCCTGCTCTGCATGCAAAACACAGGAGAAAATGTGCGTGTGTAATTGCACAATTAAATGTTGCGTCAATACAGTGATTCTTTCGAGGAGGAAGCAGTTCCCGACGCTTCCCTGAGGATTAAAGGATCAATGTGTATTTCTGCAGTGAATGGGATTGTGTTTGTTTTCTTTCTCTTTTTCTTAATAAAGTCAAAGTTGAACATGGAGAGAGTGCAGATTGTTTTTTAGTGACTCACTCCTACTTCAAAACAATGCTGCATAAAGCTTGCATTCATAGCCAGCCCAGATTCCTTAACGAGCTCTGAAAGGGCTCTCAAAATATTTCTTTGATTGCAGTCCGGCCACACTCTCCACTCATCCACTCACACCCTTCAAGAGGGGCAGCTAAG